ATGCCGACGGCAAGATCGAGCGCTACAAGTCTAGGCTTGTAGCCAAGGGGTACCAGCAGAAGGAGAAGGTGGACTTCAAGGAGCTGTTTGCCCCTGTGGTGAAGCCGACGACGCTGCGAACCCTATTCGCGGGAGCCGCCATCAAAGGATGGGTAGTAAAGCAAATGGACATCGTAACGGCATTCCTCAATGGCGTCCTTGAGGAAGAGATTTTCATGGCGCAGCCAGAGGGGTTTGATGATGGTAGTGGCAGAGTTTTGAGGATGAAGAAGGCCCTTTATGGACTGAAGCAGGCCCCTAGGCAGTGGTACTTGAAGCTGCGAGGAGTTTTGGAGGAGATCGGCTTCACTCCCTCAACGGCCGATCACTCCTTGTTCATGCTTGGCGAGGGGGAGCAGAGGAGTTTCATGGTGGTTTATGTGGATGACATCCTCATTTTCTCACCCTCTTCTGACCTTGTGAAGGAGGTGATGCTGAAGCTTCAAGACAAGTTCAAGTGCAAGGCCCTTGGTGACGTGAGCTTCTACCTTGGGCTCCACATCGAACGAGATGTGGAGAAGCGGTGCATGCGGGTGCATCAACGAAAGTACCTGGAGGCATTGGCTGCCAACTTTGGGCAGAGTGAAGGCCATGTGGCTACACCCTTTCCCTCTGGGTTCAAGTGTGTGAAGGGACCAGAGGAGGAGAGCGTTGGTGAAGAGGAGAGGCGCCGATTTCACTCGTTGGTGGGCAGCCTCATGTATGCGGCGGTAAACACCCGACCGGACGTCGCGTTTGCTACCGGGCAGCTGGCTAGGGTTGTGCAATGCCCTAATGAGGAGCAGGTAGCAGCTGGAATGAGGGTGGCCAAGTATCTTGGCCAAACACCGACCGTTGGGCTGCAATGCTCGGCGGCGGCACAAAGGCGCCAAAAGGGCGCGGATGGTGTTGAACCCGGGCGTTTGTTCCTCACCGCCTACTCGGATGCTTCATATGCATCAGAACCAGAGGACATGACAAGTGTGGGAGGCTTCATATGCTGTGTTGGTGGAGGCCCAACTGCTTGGGAGAGCAAGAAGCAGGTTGACCAAGCTTTGAGCTCGGTGGAGTCCGAGTACATGGCACTCTTCCGTGCCGTACGGGAGATTGTGTGGCAGCGGCGTTTGTTGGCTGAATTGGGGGAGGAGCAGCAAGGACCTACCCCACTGTACTGTGACAGCCAGGGTGCCATTGCTCTTGCTAAGAACCCTGTGTTGCATGGATTCACGAAGCACATGAGGGTGAAGTGGCATTGGACGAGGAGCATGGTAACCGCGGGTGAAGTTGAGTTGCGCTACGTGAAGACCACGGGGCAGCCGGCTGACATGATGACCAAGAGGCTGGTGGAGCAGCAGCATTGGAAGTGTTGCAAGCTGGCTGGGATGGCTCTGAACTGAGAGAGCAACATATCCTAAGGCCAACAATCCGAGGGGGAGTTTGTTGGTGCAACCCTACGGTTTGCACTCGGCTTGTTGTCCGTGTGCGTGAATGTGTGTGTGTATGGAATGGTATGAGGGCATGGGATAATATACATTTCATGCTTATAATTGTGTGTGAATGTTGAGTCATGATGTCGAGTGTGTGTGTCGAGTCAATAGCGAGTTATCGCTAGACGCGTGTTACGCGGTCGTTTGTGTCTCGCGCGCGGTTTCTATTTTGTCGTGCGCGGTTTCTATTTTGTCCTGTGTCGAACGTTCGGCGTGTCGCAGGTGTGTGCAGCAGACCCATCAAGAACTCAAGGATGAGTTTGTGATGAAGAGCCCGAGCCTTGGTGTCAAGCCTCAAGTGATTTCGAAGCTCGCCAAAAGGGTACACCTCAAGATATTGAAGATAGTTACATTACTTTGTGTAGTGTAACATTTCACTTGGTGTAGGCCCTAGTGAAGGGTAGTTTCGAGACCCTTCGTGGTTGGGGACAGTGTGGCACTGTTCCACATCACTGTACCTCGGCTCTTGGGGTTTGTAGGAGCTGGGAGTCATTCCCAACTCGTAACTCTTCCTATCTTGTGTTCTAAGACTATAGTGGCTGCCATAGTACCGTTCGTTCAAACCGACGCTGTATCGTCAATTATTTATCAAATCGTGCAATCTAAATTGCTAATTGTAGACGACGTGAAGACGCTCCAGATCCAATTTGAATCAGGTCATTTGCAGCTGTGAGCAGAACGCTATCAACGTTTGAAGCCGCTGTGCAGAAATCCGTCTGTGCTCTCTATCTTTCGTTTTAGGCACATTCAAGCCTATTGTGACTATAACACAGGCTGCTACAGTGGCAGCAGTGGCGGCGGCAGGCTGCTGCAGCGGCGGCTCTGGCAGAGGCAGGCTGTTGCAGCGGCGGTTGCGAAGCTGGGCTGCTGCATTGGCGGGCTGCTGCTGAGGTAGTAGCGGGCTGCAGAACCGGATCTGGCTGGCGCGCGCTCTGGTCAGACAAAGGCGCGCGCGCGGGGGCTGGCCGAAATGCGCGCGCTGGCCAGGGGAGGGGCGGGGGCAGCTCTGACGGGGCATGCGCAGCTCTAGCGAGGCGCGCGTTGCTCTAGCGGGGCGTGCGCGCTACTCTAGTAGGACACGCGTAGCTGGGAGAGGGCGCGTGCTTTCTTAGCAGGTGCGCGCTGCTTCCTAGTAGGGCGCGTGATGCTTCCTAGCAGGGGCGCGTTCAACTAACGTCTAGCTGGTAGATAGGCGGCTGACAGGAGGAACTAAGTCGACTAGGCTAGAATCGACTAGCTCTAATACCAGTTACTTAGCGGAACGTTTTGGGTAGTGAGAAAAAAGTGAGTACAAGTGTCAAGAGAGTCCTGTACCCCCTACTGTGAACCCCACTGTCAGCTACATATCTAACAAATATGTTAAACAACATTTGACACTACCTAGGATATAGCCACAGACCCTAGCTAAGCAGGGACATCGTAATCCGAGTTTGGCACAGAATTGAGCACGCGTAGGCCGAACGTGACATGATGTAGATTCGAGAAGCGAAGTCTTCTGGCCAACCCTGTCATTCCGAAAGTTAGGCTTTGCTAGAATAACCGAAAATTAATTCAAACATTCGTGAAACCATGCCAGTAACACATTAAGGATGCGCACTCCCGCACAATCACGGGAATTCGCCACCCCACCCAACACCAGGATCGCCGTCGTGTGGAATGCCTCCAAGCCTGCCTCATATAGCAACAACGCGCCTAGCAATGCCATGTGCAAAAGCTTGTCGTTTTAATTCAGCGAGGACTACACGAGGAAGCTGGGCTTTACAATCGTGCAACCTGCGAGGAAGGGCGGTTCCTACCCCGTCACAAAACGGTGAGTGTGCATGATGCACAAGACTGGTGTGGTTTATTCCAGTGTGCTCGCAGCACATAGTACGGCACTCTCGCATCACCAGAATCTGCTTGACCATCGTTGTTGTAGCGTAAATTGAGCGAATGTCGTAACTCGCCCTCACCTTTGGTCTTCCCCATGCTTATCTCTCCTTCTCTTAGGACTGTCAAAGGAATCAAATCGCTGAAATCAGTTGGATGCGAGATCAGTGCAAGCACATGCTCGTAATACTATGTTTTCTAAGCACAGCTAACTTTTTCTTTGCTCATTTTGACAAAATCAATGACATGGGAAAGATGGCTTTTGAGTCGACTCAAAAGACATAGGAGAGGTACTGTAAGAGGGAGCAAGACACACACCTAACCTGTTGTGAAATGACTCTGCTTTTTGCGTCCTTATGCTTGAAAAGCTATCGCTTTTCTCTGCATGCCTTGATTGTTCCCTCAGTGATGCCCACAACAGCCATGTGTGAGAATGATTGTGGAAGTGCTGAGTGCATTCAGAAAGAGGGCAAGTGGCAATGCCAGTGCCTCGAGGGCTTAACGTCGCTAAGAAGCTCTGCCTCGACCCATCTCTTGCTCCCCGTCGTAGGTGTCTTGTTGTTTTTTGCATGTTTGCCAACAAGAAGAATCGACCTTGTTATTTGTTGCATATACGAAGAGGAGCGGCCTCCTCTACTCTACCATATTTCTGCATCATCTCACGTAACCATCTTTTTGCCTGCCCTCCATTTCCCCCCTCCCATTGCAACCATGAACTGGCCATTTTCAATATATAGGTGCTGGTGGGCAAGTGAAGAAAGGGCGACCCTAGTTGGATGGGCATGAGGCGCAAACGGAACGTCGGAGCGGCGGGGGCTGGTGGAGCAAAGGTGCGAGCGATTGCATGTGGAGGAGACAACCAATTTGGATGACGAATAGCTGTCAGTGTGTGGTACTAGAAAAGGGAATACAAGTGTGCGTGCTTGCTTGCTGGTATGTTGTACCATAGTGTCTACTTTCAATTTCAGTTCAGACAGATTGTTAGCTTTGAAAAAATATTGAAAGGATCATAAGGATATCTTAGCTTTTCTACTGTATATGTATTTTGCACTGCAATCCACACTTCTGCTAATGCAAGCAGGACCATTCTTTCTGAGGTCTGGAAGTTGCTGGATATTGGCCAGAAACAACATAGCGCGCCTGTCTTTCACTAAATGAATGTAGGTAGTATGGCTACAAGTGAAAGCCTACAACGTGGGGTTGGCATACCCAGGGTGTGTGTTTCTGTTACAAACCTACTGCAATGCTGCTAAGATCTGCACAGACGTTAGTGGCTCACTTCGATGCCTGCTTGCACTGAACTCATCTTTGCCTACCTCCCGTGCCCCTCCCTCTCACCCACTGCCCACATTTGGTGTTCTCCCCTAGTCCCTCACCTTTCCCTTCAACCATCCCACCCTTTCTCCATCCTCGTCGTCGCCTTCTTCTTCATCCTCCTCCTCCTCATCTTTCTTCCTCCCTTCTCTCAAACAATGTTATGTAGTTTAGATAGGCTGTAGTGAGTCAAATCCTATGGGTTGCACAAATACTATCGACACTGTTCTTGTACCTCTCCCCTTTTTACCCTAATCAACAAGTCTCTCTATTTACTTAGACTCTAAGATGGTAATAGCAGGAGGTTCGTTGCTAGCCTAAGAAAATGCGCCCCGTCTCCCCCCATAACGCGCCTCGCCCCGTTCGTAGCCCGCCTTGTCCGTAGCACGCCCCGTAACCTCGTAACGCCCCATAGCGTGCCCCGCCCTTGGCAAACGCGTGCGCAGCAGCTACTGCATGCACGCGCGCGTGCACAGGCTTTCGCGCGCTGGCCTCCCTTTTTTTGTCCCATTCCGCGCCCTGTCCTGCCGCACGCACACAGTTGTAGCATGCATAGTCGTGCGTACAGCCAGCAGCACGCGCAGCCGCGAGTAGGCAGAGCGCACAGCCACGAGTAGGCAGCACGCACAGCAGCAGGAGCCGCGAGCGCGCGCGCCACCACACACACACGAGCAGCAGCCACCACCACGCTCGCAGCAGCCACCGCCACGAGCACAGCAGCAGCCGCTGCCGCGAGCGCAGCAGCAGCTGCCGCCGCGTGTGCGGCAGCTACCACCATGCACCACTACAGCCCCTACCTGCACCCCGCCTCATCACATGCTCTGCCCTGCTCTGCCGCTCGTGCGCGCAGCCCCACGCGCGCCGCCGTGGACGAGTAGACGCGCACAGCATCAGCTCTACGCGCACCAGCAGCTGCCTACGCATTAGGAGCTGCACGCAGAAGTAGCAATTGCATGTGCCTTCGCTACGCACTGCTACCCGTGCTAGTTGACAGGCCCACCCATTCCCCATGGCATTAGACCGTTCCTAACCGCTAGTGACTGCTCTTCACCGCGCTAAACCGCACTCAACCGCACTCGACCGCACCCGGCAGCTGCAGTTGCACACGTACCTGCTGTCTCTCCCACACGCCTCCTGCCATTGACAGTTCTCAAGGTAGCTGGCAGCCGCAGTCACCTCTCCGGGCGAGTCTTAAGCTTCTAGCCTGGTTGTTCCACGTATTCCTAGGCTTCGTATTCCAGCTCTGTTCGCCACCCTCTTCACCCTTTCTAGGCTAGTCTTTACGCCACGTTTCCGTGTCCGACTATTTCTAGCTCCTGCCACTCTCACGCCCCTCTGGCTTGTGCCATGGCGTCCACTAGGGTTCTGCAGCAGCAGGGCCAGCCGCAGTGGCAGCACTAGTAGCAATCCTGACAGTGGGGACCTGATGGACCCAGCTACGGTACAGACTGCAGGGCGGCTCGCCACGGTGGTCGTAATGTCGCAGCTTGCCAGTACCGGTTCTTGACTAACCCTGATGCTCTCACTCCCTGCTTGCGCCCTGACCACTCCTCGTTCCGCTACTACCACCACCTCAACAACCTCTATCGTGAGCGTTCTGGTCCTAACTCGTCTATTTTGCATTGGCCTACTCTGTCCCGCCATGGTTACAATATATATTCTATGTCCATGTATGAAGTTTATACTGTTGCGCACGTTGATAACTCTAGTACTATCGGAACTGTTGATTTGCGTGTGCCTATCTTAGGATTTCGGCTGGCTGCTAGTGTAGGGACTTGTGCTTCTAGTGGAGATGCCTGTGTAGTTACTAGTCTAGTTGTACCTGCAGCTGACGCATTCACTAGGCGTAGATAGGCGTGCGGCTTAGGGAGTTGAAGTGTTCCGGCTTGGAGCATGTGGAGCTGCCCTTGGAGCTGAGCACCAGTAGCACAATTTCCTATTGTGAATGGGGGAGAGGAAGCCAAGAATGCAAAGGAAGAAGGGGAGGAGGTGTAGCAAGCAAGTGAGCGTGCACCGACACTTCCACCTCGCACCACGTACTCCTTGTCTGGATCGTGCAGGATTGGTTCTGGGCCAATTGTGAGGGCTGTCTATAGCCGCTTCATGGCTTACTGTTGAGGAGCGTCCTATTTGTAGGCAGGATCCGTTTTTAGTACGTTCGTGAGAGGCACTACTACTATAGCGTACGGTTGCATGAACCTATTAAAATAGTTTGCTTAGCCTAGGAACTACTATAACTCTTTGATGTTCCACGGAACCTTCCACTTCTTAACAGCTTAGATCTACTGTGGGTCTATATATACTCCCTCTACACTCACCATGTTTCCACCAGACTGCATTTGCTTAAGGGCGAAGTCGCTAATTGACGGTTTCATGTAGAAGTGGTTCTTCCGTAGAATCTTGAAGACTTTTTGTAGACGTTCCACGTGCTCCTTCATATATTTGGAGTAGATGAGAATGTCGTCCAGGTACTCCACCACGCACTCATCCAGCAAGGGACATAGGAAATGAATCATCTCCGCCTGGAATGTTGCTGGCACGTTGTAGAATCTGAAAGGCATCACCAGCTATTTGTAGGAGTCGTATCATGTACGAAAAACCATCTTGTGGATATAGTTTTCCACCATCTTGACTTGCCAGCAACACGACCGGAAGTCCTGTTTGGAAACCAATGTTCCTCGGTGCAACTCGTCCATGAGGTCGTCAATTCGCGGTATGGGATAATTGCTTTGTACTCTCTGTTTTATTGAGATCCCGGTAGATCCGTAGACTGCCGTCCAGCTTGGGAGTGAAAAGAACCGGTATGCCGTAGGGTGGTGTGGAGGGTCAGATGATGGCATAATGTTCCATATACTCAATCTACTTCTTCATGTCTCCTAGCTCCGCTGGGCTAAGGCGGTACAGTGCATAGAAGGTTGGTTTCAAACCCAGTTCTTCCACGATCTCGCGCTGGTGAGTTCGCTATGGTGGCACAGCTGCAGGTAGTGTTATAGTCACCGTAGGCTTAAATTTGCCTAAAACGAAAGATAGAGTGCACAAATGGATTTCAGCGGAGCGGCTTTAGAACTTGGTAGAATTCTGGTAACAACACCAAATGACGTGCTATAAACAAAATATAGAGCGCCATAACGTCGCCTACATTAGGCTAGTTGTTTCACTCGATTTCATAAAGATCTGACGACGTGATGTAAGTTTAATCGAATGGCGGTCTAGTAGTAACTGTAGTCTGAGAGAACAACTTAGGAAGAAGTGACGAGTTGGGAATAACTCCTAGCCTCTAAAAACGCCAAGAGCCAAGTTCCAGGGAGTTGGAAGAGTGCCAAACAGTCCCCAACCTCGAAAGGTGTGAAAACCACCCACCACAAAGGTCTATACTAAGAACTAAGTTAAACTACACAATGCAATGTAACTAATCTCAATATTATGGTCTCTATCGATTTGGTGAGCTCTTAAATCACTAGATTTTTGAAACCAAGGCTTTGGGTCTGCGTCACAAATTCCTCCTACGGGTTCCTTGTGTCCGGCTTGCTGCACACACTTGCGACACGCTGAACGTTGGACACACGACAAAGTAGAAAATGCTCAGGACACGCAAACGACGACGTGACACGCAACTAGCGATAACTCGCTATCGAGTCGATACACACATTCGACATCATGACTCATCATTCACACACAATTTCATGCATAAAATATATATTATCTCACTCCCTCATACCATTCCATGCACACACGTATGGACACACAATGACAACAAGCCGAACACAAACCGTGGGGTTGCACCAACAAACCCCCCCCCCCCCCCCGGATTGCTGGCCTTGAAATCACTTCCTTCAGTTGAGAGCCATCTTGCAATATTTTCAATGCTACTATTCCACCAGCCGTTTGGTCATCATGTTAGCTGGTTGCGCCGTCGTCTTCACGTAGTGTAACTCAACTTCACTCGCGGCCACCATGCTCCTCATCCACTGCCATTTCACTCTCATGTGCTTGGTGAGGCCATGCAGCACATGGTTCTCGGCAAGTGCAATGGCACCTTGTCTGTCTAAAGAGGGGTAGGTCCTTGATGCTCCTCCCCCAACTCAACCAACAAACACCGCTGCCACACAATTTCCTGTACGTCATGGAAGAGTGCCATGTATGTCAAACTTATATCATATAGCTTGTCTAGGCTATAGTGGGGTAGACACTATGGGGTACAGTTTCCTAGGGTTTCCTACTTGTACCCAACCTTGTGCTAGTTCATTCATTCCTCATTTCTTCACATGGTATAGAGCAGGTTCCCTAGTGGGAACGCTTCCTTGGGCCCACCACTGAAACTTTTTTTTCTGACCGGAGCGCTAGTCGCTCCTGCCCGAGGCGCGCCTTGTGGGCCGCCCTTCTGTCGAGCTCTCTTAGAGGCCCCTCTCACGGCCCCTCGCGCCACCCTTAGCGGCCCCGTCGCCGCCCCTAGCGGCCCCGTCGCCGCCCTTCCAGGCCCCTCGCGGCCCCTAGCGGCCCCGTTGCCGCCCCTAGCAGCCCCGTCGCCGCCCCTAGCGGCCCCGTCGCCGCCCCTACGCGGCCCCGTCGCCGCCCCTAGCGGCCCCGTCGCCGCCTCCCTCCCTCCGCGGCCCCGTCGCCGCCCCTACGCGGCCCCGTCACCGCCCCTAGCGGCCCCGTCGCCGCTCCCCTCCCTAAGCGGCCCCGTCGCCGCCCCTACGCGGCCCCGTCGCCGCCCCTACGCGGCCCCGTCGCCGCCCCTAGCGGCCCCGTCGCCTCCTCCCTCCCTACGCGGCCCTGTCGCCGCCCCTACGCGGCCCCGTCGCCGCCCCTAGCGGCCCCGTCGCCGCCTCCCTTCCTACGCGGCCCCGTCGCCGCCCCTACGCGGCCTCGTCGCCGCCCCTACGCGGCCTCGTCGCCGCCCCTAGCGGCCCCGTCGCCGCTCCCCTCCCTACGCGGCCCAGTCGCCGCCCCTAGCGGCCCCGACGCCGCCCCTACCCGGCCCCGTCGCCGCCCCTAGCGAGCAGCCGAGCCGCCGAGCCGCCCAGCAGCCGAGTCGCCCAGCAGCCGAGCCGCCCCTGGAGCAGCCGCCACTGCAGCAGCCGCCCCTGGAGCAGCCGCCACTGCAGCAGCCGCCCCTGCAGCAGCCGCCCCTGCAGCAGCCGCCCCTGCAGCACCCGCCCCAACAGCAGCCGCCCGTGGAGCAGCCGCCCCTGGAGCAGCCGCCCCTACGACTGCCGCCCCTGGAGCAGCCACCCCTGCAGCTGCCGCGGAGCTCTCGCCCTACAGTGGTAGCGGCCTCGCCGTTGCCGCCGTCGTACGCCTGCCCTTCTCGCCACTGGTGAGCACTGCCCTGCCCGTACTGCTGTTACTGCTGCTCTTGCTGCTACTGCTCTTTCTACTGCTACTACTGCTCCTGGCGTGGCCAGATGCAGCTCCAGCGTCCCCCGCGTGAGTCCCTCACCCCCCAACAGCTTCGTGAGTGGTACGCTAGTTGGGGTTGTCGGGGTGGCCGTAGTGGGAGTCGTCCTGGAGTGAGTAGTTCCACAGCTGCTTGTAGTGGCCAGGTGCAGCTGCAGCGTCGCCCGCGTGAGTCCCTCACCCCCCAACAGCTTCGTGAGTGGTACGCTAGTTGGGGTTGTAGGGGTGGCCGTAGTGGGAGTCGTCCTGGAGTAAGTAGTTCGGCAGCTGCTTGTAGTGGCCAGGTGCAGCTTCAGCGTCGTCCGCGCGCGGTCCTTTCGCCCCAGCAGCTTCGTGAGTGGTACGCTCAGCGTGACGGGTCACGGGGTACTGCTCGCT